TATCAGCTGAATCCGGTAACACATCTAAATTTTTTTTTTTTTTCAAAATTAAATATATTAAATATAAGCAAAGAAAACTTAGAACATAGAAATAAAAAGTTAATGCACAAAATATTTCCAGCCTTATTTTTATCACAATTAACATATATACATATTCCAGTTTGATCTGGTTGTTTTTTAATTAGTTATGGTATTTGCAAATCTTGCATATTAACTAGCGAACATGCATATTAAGAAAATCAGTTTCACTTATGTTAAGAGTGTAAGTAAATCTGTTTCTGTGAAACTGGTCGAAACTAAACACCAAATGCATTAAGTTAATTGTGTTGTTTGCAAATGACACTGTAAGCAGACTTAATATACCGCTGAATGATAAAAATCATGCAAATTGTAATCTCATAAACATTTGCCTATCACAGGCAAACTTTGATTTCATAACAAAATTCAACCTGATCATTATTATTTTTCCCGGCAAAATATGGGTGCAACATTTTTCCGCCTTTTATGAATTTTTGTTTACTGTAAAATACCTAATTAAAATAATGGGATTAATTTTCGCTGAAAAGATTTTTTGGGTGTTCATTCCTTCAGCGGAAATAAAATCCCCAAAAAATTAAGTATTTTACAGAAAATAAATGCACTACTGATACAGTATTCTTCAATTCACTTTGAACCTAGAGAATAATCACTTCTTTTCAGTGACGTAATAGTGATGTCAGCCATTATCTTAATCTTTGTTTAATGGCTTTCCCAAAATAATGGATCAGTCAAACTCTTATAAAGTGGTTTGTGGTAAAGAAAATGGATGCTTCTGGTACATGGAAAATGTCAAACTGAAAGATTAATTGATGTAATTAATGTATTAATTATATTAAAGTACCATCAGTCGGTTTTCCCTGTGAGAACGGGGGGGGGGGTGATTTCTAGTATATTCGCTGGTTTCCCTAATTCCTGGTGTTCTGACGAGTTATTGAATGTTTATACGATGAAAACAATCCTTCCTACACAGACGAAATTAGAGCATTTTTACAAGTAATCGTAGACCTTAAAACTTGGTTATTGGAATACTAAAATGAAAACAAAATTGTATCACCAGACAATTTTTTCGGGAAATCAAAGACAAAAATATCATGCAGAACATATTTTAGCAAAATTTTGCTAACAGGCTGAAAATTATTAAATTATAGATATGAATTTTTAATAATACTAAAAATATTTGATTTTATAGTGAGCTTGCTCTGTTTTTTTTTCGGACTTTCATATAGAAAGCCACAGGAAACAACTTTGCAAAATTTTAGAAAAATTGCTGTGTCAAAGAATGTGAATTGTTAATTATGGTTCATTTACAATATCAGCATCCACATGATCAATATGGCATTTAGGATATCACTGATGGCCACATCAACATTCAAAAATCTAAATAATGTATCTATGCATTTTGCTTCTGTCATCACAGTTTTGTTAACCTTGACTTTATGATGTACAATATTCAACACACCTTTTCCAATGCTTCTTGTAAAACGCCTTCTGCTTCATCAAACTTGCCTTGATGAATGTACGCTGCAGCCATTCCGTTCAATAACAGTGGAGTGGATGTGTTTTTATCGGCTAATTCTTGGAAAATATAATATGCATCTTGTAGTTTCTCACCACCCTGTAATTAAAATATAGAACTAGTATCAACAATAAGTGAGTGCGGGTGAGTGCATGAACATGGGAGTGAGTTCAAAGTTGAAATATCCAATTGATGGAAACATTCAGTGAATTAATAATAAGCAATCAATTCTGAACATTTTAGGTACTGTTATTTTAATAAGAATGTTGGCAGATAACCCATGAAATATACCGTGATTCCCCGATCATAAGCCCCTCCCCGAGTATAAGCCCACCCCTCTATTCTCAGACATTTAATGAGTTGACGGCATCCCCGATTATAAGTCCAGGGTGTTTTTACTGGGCGCCGACGACATTCATTACAATATGCGTGTAAAAAGTGTGTTCATTGCATCAATTGCATTGATACAGTAGCTTGGTTTGTGCTTTTATGAGAAAACTCGCATTAATTTCAGAGTGCATGGCGAAAGTATGCAACATGGTTCGCACCCTTTCTATTCTGTTATTTACTCAGGATGAACCCAGATGTTGCAATACTGAAGTAATCCATATTTGTTTGAGTATTAGCTTTCGAAACTTCAAAAATTTGAATGTCAAGTCATGAAGCCTGGTCATTGGACATCATTTTACTTAATCGTGTCCTTTGAGACTATCATGAAAGGGGTGTGAACAAACAAACTATTTGTCAATGTGACCTGTTGGCAACCAAGAAAGGTGTTTATATAAATATTTTCTCTACACTTGGTTTACCTTTCAAAAATTGCAAAGCACCAGTTTTTAGGAAAAAAAATCAACATTTTTTTATGTCAAAATCAGTGCTACAGATTTTAACATCGCATCACTTTTACATTGTGTTACAAAAGTTACACAGCATTTTGATTGGTTTAATTAAAGACGTGACCTGTTAGGTCAAAGGACGATGTTTAGGTCAAATCATGCTGAAAAGCATCATAGCGGGAATAATTGCTTTGTGCGTACGATTGAAAATGATGATAATAATGAATATTTTGCCTTTGACAGTTTCCCCACAAACCCTACTCATTTTTACACTGTAAATTCAGATGGTATGTAAATCATATTGTAATAAAATGTGTGTATTTTGTTTCTTTATTGTAAAGGTGTTGTGGAAATCAATGACGACTCGTTTTGCATTTGTTTTTTTCAAAAAGACGTAATAATTCATGGAGAACGAAAGATGTAATTTGGAAAATTCCTGATTGATAAGATGGTTATAATGCTAAACCAACCCCCCAACCCCCAAAAAAATCATCTTTTCTGAGGTGGTCCTTGAATATAAGCCCACCCCTTACTTTTCATGATTTTACATGATCAGCCCCTGGGCTTATGATCATGGAAGTACGGTATTGCATTATAACAAACCTCATTCAGACTCTGATGTGATGTGATTGGCCAATCAATGGGTCACATGGGGATTTCCATATTTTAAACTGTTACTCTAAAACATGAAAAATCAAGCTGTTCTCGAAATTATGCCACTTTGAGAACAGTGTGCAAAATAAGCACGCACAAGATACTGTTTGTCCATATATATTTAACTCTGCAGAAGTCGATATGAACGACAAATAATTCCAACGAGTTACACATTTCTCCAAGGAGACATTTTGTCTACAGCGATTTTTTGATAGCCTCCAGAATTTTTTTTTTTAATTAACCTGGTCTGAAACCTTTGAACACCATAAACTTGTCTATCGTTTATTTTAGATTAAGTGCACAATTTATTATCGCCTACAGATTTTGATCAATACAATGGGAAAAGTTGTGCAGCTTGTGTAACTACGACAAAGGTAAACTTGGGCATTCAAGGGGTTGAATTTTGTGACTGTTTTTACAAAAGGGGTTTTGACATCTTCAATGTGTATCAACATCATTGAATTATTTGAAATAAAAATCAAGGCTTTCTTTTTCAACTGTTTTACTATACAATATCTAATCTAGTTAGCATAAAATTAAGACATCTATTTTCTACTTTTCATCGTTGTGATTTCCCCGTCTTTCCTCATCATGATTATTATTAATTTATTGTTCTTGTCACACAACGAAAAGAACAAAGAACAACAAACAAAGGAAAAACGCTAATTAAATGAATAGACAAGAAATTACAATATTACCAATTGCAAAAAATGCAAATATATTCGCCAAAAATAGAAATGAAATGAACAAATCTGACAGAGGTCCGCTCAAAGTACCTACATAGCCAAGTATCAATGCAATTGAGCTAACAGTTTTCAGGAAGATGGAAATGTAATTGTTGGTTGACTGATGACAGACGAACAACTACAGACAATCACCTATATAACCAGCTCCACTCTGTCATCTACGATGACAGCGAAGCTAAAAACATTGACTGAACAAAATCAGAAGGATGCTGGTTAAAACCTAAACAGCTCCATGTTTTGGTGTCCCTGGCAAAGCCACTTCACCCCGTAGACGACGCAATGTTTGCCATGTGCATGTTTGAACCCTGATGTGACATGAGCAGTGTGGACTATCGTTAGGGATGTTAACATTGCTAACTCCATAATATAATTTTTTACTGTATTTATATTAAAGGTCAAACACAAATATGAAATGCATTTTTTAATTTTGCAGGTACATTTTAAATGTCAGCAATTGAATCAGAAATAATGGCATTCAATGAGGTGGAAAGTTGCAATAATTCCTATAAAACACACTCCAGTAAATATGAAAAGTACTTATAATAACTTCCCTTGGGGTCAATCAGCAGTTCTCTATGTAAACCTATATCATAATACACTGTACTGGTATCGTATTAAAATGAAATTAGAGAAGTCATGTTCCCAGCAAAGCAAGGCTTACAATTTAATTATACGACAGATAATGTTTCCATTATGTTGTCAAGATTCATCCAAATCTTATTTTGTATTCACTTGTCAGGATACCAGAGTCTAATGTCAACACAACTCTATTTAGTGCATTTATGTGTATGGCACCTAAACTTGTGGTTGATAGGATAGGGATTTAGACATTAATGACATTTATTTAATGACTGGTACATAGCTTGTGATCAACAGTCACATGATTGGAGAATGAATGGTGAAGGGCTGGTACATGGTTTTTGACAAAAGCTCACATGACTGAACCAAGAATTGTGAATGGTCAGTACATGGCTTTTGACCAAAAGTCACATGACTGGAGTATGAATGGTGAATGACTGGTATATGAACTCTCCCTTGAAGAGACTTCGAGCTTATGGCCTGATCTAGGAAGGCACAGAGAGCCGCAACTAGACTAGACATTTTACACCAAAATTGTTGTCTGTGGCAGAGACTAGTGGGGCTTTCCCTGGCAACTACCTAGCTTAGTGATAAAAGACCCATAGCCTCTGCAAAGAAGAAAGTGGTATATGGCTATTGACCAAAAGTCACATGACTGGGTCATGAATAGTGAATGACTGGTACATGGCTATTGACCAATACACACATGATTGGATCATGAACAAGAATAATTAGTGGCTAGCACTAGAGCATGTAATTGGTGACTGACTGGACACATGATTAGACAATTATACAGCATGACTTGTTGAAGATTTAAGTTGTTACTTACCACAGCAAGGTTGAACCATGCCTGAGCAATCTGGGTCAAAGTAGCGTCATCATCAAGCTCTTGCATACGTTTCAATTCTTTTCTAATAAGAAGAGATTCCTTTATGTCAGAAGGATTTTATACAACAAACAAACAAACAAACATTCACGGGAGAGCATAACACTTGAAACATGCCGATGAACAAATGAATTTCACTTAGAACTTATTTTCCCCGAAAGGGATGAAAATAAAATCCAGTTGAAGCACGTTTCACCAGTAATTTAACAGTGAAAATTACATGTGCCAAACAAGATTGAAGTATGGGGCGAAAATAAATTCTAAAGCTAAAAGAAAGTAATCCACTGCAGCTTACTCGGTATGTGAGATTCATTCAAATTCCCCATATTGTTATTCCAGTAGAGAACTACCTTCAAATACACAGCCAGAGGCGACTTTTAACACTAACAAGATAATATATGTACTTACTTTGAAAGGTCTACTCTATCCATCTTCAGATATATTTGGACTGTCAGAGCAGCACTGAAAATGGAACAGATGCATACATGATGAGAGTGATTTAAAAATATGAAACAATATGACGAATAATCTTAGAAAATTCTTTTGAGCTTTAAGCGGTTCAAATCAGTAAATTTGAATGGTTGTTTACAGTGGCAAATACACATTTTTAATAAAATATTACAGTATAGAACAGTTTTCGCATGAGAACACTTTCTTTTACCCAATAATGATGCTTTCAAGATAGTTCCTCACACATCTATTGTTTAAAAAACAAAATGGGAAGAAATTTTCTAATTGAACGGGTTGTGTTTTACCTTTTCCCACCAATTAGTCTCCATGCACTAACTCTGTAATCTGCATAAAGTAACGCGTTTATCTCAAGAATTTGGTTCGTAACCACAAATTTTTCCACATATCTTGTATAGCAATAATCAGTCTATTCAGCATCAGGAATTCCCATAGACTTTCATGAAACCTATTGATCCACCTTAACCCTTTCAACATCAGACTTGCTCGCTCAAATTATTCAGCATTTTTTTTTTATATTCTTCAATATTTCTGGAAATGAATCCTAATTTTAATTAAAGCCCACAGACAAAATTTTAGTAAATTTTCAGATTTTACCTTAAAAAATGTTGCTATTTTTGTCCCAGTCTCCTGAAGAAAAGTGCAACTATAAACGGGACTATTTGGTGAATTTGTAATGAAAAGAGATAACTGGTGATGGAAAGGTTAAAGATTTGTGGTGCTTTTTTTAATTTATTCTATCCATATAAAACTGACATGGTACCATTAACGCAGGGTGACATGGTGTAATTTAGGAAGATTGCAGGCACATAATGGTACAAGCAGGGAAAGAAGATTTATTCAAACATAATTTTTCTAATATGCGCTATGACAGGGTCCATAGCACCAAGAGCCAAATGATTTCCAAGACTTTTCCAGACCTTTTCCCAAACTTTCATGCATTTTTCCCCCAAAACATTTTGACCCTTAATTAATTCAGGCCAACATCATCACCAAAGCTCATCAAAGAGTAAACAGGCCTTTCTAAAATGAATTAATAACTATGAAGAAATTGAATGACTTGTCAAAGTTTTTTTTTTATTTTTTCTGTAATTTAAAAACTTAAAAATCTAAAGACTTTCAAAGGATTTTCCTCATTTGGTACTAGGAAATACACAAAGTAACAAACAAATTGGCAAAAAAAAAAAAAAAATTAAATGTCATTTAAACAGGCTTTAACTTACCATTCTAGAGATTCTGACTGATTCAGAACTCTGAGAGCAGCATCATTATTCTAGAAACCAAACAAAAAGATACAATCTCATAAATAATGACTATGAATTGCCTTTTATCAGCGATATAATGTTCATGTCAAATTACTCTCAATAATTTGCTCTATTAGTAGCACATGTGATTAAGTAAAAGAGAGAGGCGAGTCTATCATTAAAACAAATCATATTTTTTTGCTCAGACATTGATAGAGCAATTACAATATTTGAATTGCATTGATATTATTATATTTTTATTCAATACTAGAGGCCTTCAGCCTAGAAGTGCAACATTACTAAAAAGAATATACATACAATGTATAATAATGCCCAGAGTTAGTACGGTCACAATTTAATACAGCAAGTTATTTTCTGTGTTTTAAAGGCATCGTAAAAAGAGTGTTTCTTTGTTAGTCAACAAAAGTGAAAAGAATTTGTATATTTGGGGAAAGTCAAAATAAAACTTGGGCATGTATTGACACCTCAGGTCATTGTATACGAGTCAGATTAATAAAAAGTGAAATTCATCTTCAAAACATCTAAGATTACAAAACCTACAAATTCTGTTTGCTTTTGGTACATTGTTTCAGTGCCCAAAAAAACAATAACTATAATTTACTACCAGCCTCATTTACTTTTACATTGACTTGACCAGATAAGGGTTAATATTGATTTTTTTAATGCTGATTATTTGACCAGGAGGGCTTGTTGACAACTTTCTATGAAAATACTGCTGAGGGCAACAACCACTGCATTAGACAGCCAAAACAAAAATTCCTTGTTCATTGGATCTGCTCAAAACAGCATTATTTTAATGCATTTTACACTTTTAGCTTGCTCTGCGAGTGATGTTTCACATATCTACAAAGCAGAAATGCAATTTTGCCAAAAATTTAAAAAAAAACAAACAATTTCTGGCATAACAATTATGTTTTACCTGTTCATGGACATAAATCGAAGCAGCCATTAAGAGGAAGGTGTTGTTAGTTATGTCAACACTACTGCTCATCTTACCATCTAGGTCCTTCACAATTCCATCCCTGTAAAATAAATTAAAGCTGTCAGATTCTAAACTCTGCCCTCTAGAGAGACACTTGTAATTACTTTTGTTTTTCACAAGATGGACCCTAAAGTGCTGCGCAAATTCACAAATTGGTAATCTACTATTGGTCAAAAATACCAGTAGATAATTTATACAATTAAGGTCAATGATCAAAAGTTTGTCAAAGAATAAACTTTGCCTTGAAATGTAGGGCTGGATGTGTGGGAATCCAGAGCCAAATTTCGTGGTCAATACTTCTGTGAATGTTTTGAATTCATTGAAATTATGTGGAACACATCTACTGATATGGTTAACAAGGTAAGTAGATAAGAAATCATAGGGAATGGCACGAGTTTTTAGAGTTGAATTACAGTTAGATGGAAACATTATGTTTATTGTAAATGGTGTGATATTATTGTACACTGGTAGATTAAGTGCATCGCTGCTAATAAAATAAAACACTGTAGCTAACCATGTTAAATTAAACCTAGTGAATGTACATCATGAATTGTTTTCTTCACAAACCAGTGAATTTAAAAACCTGAAAAATATCCATGCAACATCACATCTGCTAAAACAAGTCATTGAAAATGACACAGTCCCCGATAAATTTTTGAAAGTTCTCTTTGTGCTTGTCATATTTAAAAGCTGGGGGGGGGGGGGGGG